GTTGCAATTAGTTTTAATCTATATATGTTGCAACTTATACTGTTGCAATTTTGCAACTTATTTTAGCTTATATTGCAACAAGTTGTAAATTTGAAATTAATTGCTACATTATCTTTAATTTGGATTATCTTCTACAATTGAGTTTATAGATTGTTATTTATTAAAGTTAATTATTTGTAAATTAAAATTTTTATTGATTTATTAATAATAGAATGATTTCTTTTTGTAGAAGATTCTTCTTATAAATTAATTTCTTTAGCTCTTTTATCTGTTACTTTTATTTATTTTTTAACCTTTTTAGCATCTTTAACTTTACTAACTATAACTTCTTTTAATTTTCTTCCTTTAGTATTTATTAGTTTACTTCTTGGTAATAAATTACATTTAATCTTTTTAATCCTGCATTATAATATCAAATTAATTTTTAATATTCTTTCAAATACAATTTTTAAATAATTGATATTTTATGGTTCTACAGATTTAAATGCTTTTACAAGTGTATTTATTAAAGTTAGCTTCTTTTTTTTGATCAACCAAATGTTTTTCTTCAGTTGTTATATAATCACTAATAAACTTATTAAATAATAAATCCATTCTTTCTCTTTTAATTTGTGAACTTTTTATTTGATTTTTTAAATTATCTTTATTAATTACATTCCCTGTAATATTTTTTTTAATAAATTTTACTCTAAATATTTTTAGTATTTTATCAAAAGCATAATAATGTTTATCACATGTAAGATTAACTGATTTAGCATACCAAAGTAATTCTTTCATTTTTGAATATTTTTCTAATAAAGTAAGAAATTGAATAATTGATTTAATATAATTTAATTTGCTAGCTGCTAAAAATAAAGATGCAAATACTGCTAAAGATTTAAGTTAAGCATTTGTATTTCCTATATGTATTTTTATTTAATGTAATTTTACCAAACACACTATTTATAAAAACAATATCATATTTTAAGTAAGCTAACAATATAATTTTATTGAATAATTAATAGCTATCTATATTAAATCTAATATATGACAAGTTGATCTATAATAAATAACTAATTCTAATTTATCAAAAAATTTTACATTTAAAATAACTGCTAAATTATAAATACTATAACTTGAAATAAATTTAATAGAACATTATATATATCTTTAGAAGTATGTTATTATTCTAATAAAAGTCTAATATTTGTATTTATCTTATGTAATTTAATTACATATCTAATAATAACCTTTTCATAACATATTTTATTGATTCATTATTATTTAAATTTAAGTTTTCAAAATATTTATTACAAGTAGTAAAGATCTTATCATTTTTATTTAGATTTCTTCCAGTTTTAAAAATAATAACTTAAGAAAATGAATATTGAAAACTAATATCAATTTGTTTAATAATTTTTGTATACATAATATCACAATTAAAGTCTTATAAATATTTAATTGATTGATTATTCTGATTAAAATATAATAATTTTTCAAATATTATTTCAAATCTAATTAGCATTTCTTTAGTAAATTGATTTAAATCATATAAATAAGTTTTTTCATTTAGATTAATTATGTTTGTATTAATTGAATTTAATGATATTGGTAATTTAAACTGAAATAATAATCTTAGAGTAATATATAAAATCATTCACTTAACATTATAAATATTTCTAAAAGTAAATAATTTTTACTTAAAATCTATAATATTATTTATTATATATAGATTTTAAAGATTTTAAATATTATCTTGTTTTTTAATTCTTAAAAGAGGATTTGCTTCTAACATTCTTTTTTTTCTTAATCACTTTTCATGTTTTATTGTATAAGATATAATATGAATTAATTAAAATACTTTATAAAATGATATTAATAAATAAGATTTATAATATAATATATTTGGAAGCCTAAATTTGATTTTATTTTGAGAAATTAAAAGAATTATAGAAGTTAAGAAAACTGTAATTCTTTGAATTTTTTGTTGATTAATTGGCTTTATTTGTTTATTTTTTTATTAAATCTTTTTTTGTTTTTATTCTAATAATGTTTGTATTAAAGATGGAAATTATAATTAATATATTATAATTTTTAATGTTATAACTTATGTTGCAATTAGTTTTAACCTATATATGTTGCAACTAATTTTAACTTATATTATAACAATTTGTAAATTTAAAATCAATTGTTGCATCATCTTTAGTTTGTATTAATCCTTTAAAAAAAAACATTGAAGATTGAAAAGTATTTTAGTATTTATAAAGTAAATTTAGTGATTCTAAAATATTTTGTTGTTGATATATATCCTTTAAATTTATTTCTATCATATTTGCAAAATTTTATCCTAATTGTATATATTCTTCTGATATTAAAATATTATTAAAAATTTTAAAATTAATATGATATAACTTAAATATTGTATTAATTATAAATAAACTTGATATTGTTTAACTATTTTTATTATTATTCTTATTGCAATTAAAGGTTTGTAAAGCTGGCATAATTGATTTTAAAACTTTTTTTTACATTTGAATATCATTAGATTTAGTAACCATAGATATCCATTTACTTATAAATTATAATGATTTAGCTAAATTTGATCATTAGATTTACAATGTATTGCTTTATTTTCTCATTCATATTTAACAAATATATGTCTACCATTTTTTTATACCAATCACAACAAATATATTTTAAATAATTAATTAATTGTAATATAAAAATTATTGGATCAAATTTTTGTAATATATTACAGTTTTTTTGTCCAATATATGAAATTTGTATATTTTTCCTATAAGATTCTAAGAATGCTCAATACAAAATTTGCAAAAATTATAATAATTTGTATTTGCAATGATGAATAATACTTTCAGATGAACTTTTTGATTTTTTAATACTAGATGAATGCAACTTATTTTGATGAAACATAAAATGATTATAACAAACTCTAAGTTTTCTAAATCCTTACATATTATTTTAACTAATTGCTTATCTAATTGTTACATCTAATTATCATAATTCACAAGAATTCTCTGAATTTTTATAATATTGTAATTTTTTATTTATCAAATCTACTATTACACATGATGGTAAATTTTTTGTTTTTGTTTGATTTATATTTACATTTATTTCTGGTTCTATATTTTCTGTAAATATATCAGAATCTTGTTCTAAAGGTTTTTCTGTATTACTACTATTTGCACTATTTTGACTGTTTAATATAAAAGCAAATGCTTCATTTAATTGCATTATTATCATACAAAAAAGTAAAATCTTCTCCTAATTCAGGTATATTATTAAAGAATTCATCATTTATATGATCATTTATTTGATATTCTAAAATATTTTGACTCTTTTTTATTTTAAAAAAATGTGTGAAAAATAATAAGTGTGTGTAAAAAGATTTATATTTATAAATATATGACCAATCAAATCTATTACATTATAAAAAAAAAATGTACAGATAACTAGAATTATACATTATTAAAGAATTAATATCTCCAAGTATATAAAAAATGTAATAATATTCCATGAAATCCCAGTAAAAAGAATTGAAACTGCAATATCAATAAAAGGTGTCATAATAATTTCAGAATATTATATTAAAAAAGCAATTTGAAAAGGATATCTATAGACATACCTTTCAAGAGTTTTTAAAAACTTTCTAAGCTTTTGACTGTAAGCTTTATCAAATATGATTATTTTTTAATAGATTTATAAAACTTATAATAGTGACAAGCTTATAACATTAATACAAAGTTGAACTATATTCAAGAACATTATTTGTTCAATAATACTTTATTTTTTTTTTTTAAAAAAAAAAACGTTTAATATTTATTTTTAATATAAAAAAATTTTGCGAAAGATTTTATAAGTTGATTGCCTGTTTTTCATTAAAAAAAAGGCGTGAAATTTCATATGAAAATCACTTGGCAAAAATGATCGGCTCTATATGTAACTACTCAAAATTGAATATTTGCTCATATTTATAATATACTTTACATTTTTTTCTTCTTTATTACTAAGATATATATAGTCAGTCATTTACTTAAATAAGAGATGACTATTATCCAATATTTTAGGTTTCAATCAAATTAATATAAAATTCCATTGAGTCTTAAATGTTTGAGCACAAAAAAACGTTCTAATCAAGTTAATCAAGTAGTAGTCCGAACCGAATAGTTATTATTAAATTCTCTATTCGGACCAATTCGGATGCTTTGGATAATCGATTGATTATCAAATAAGCCACTACAAATCGGTTTACATTAATGAATGTTAAGGGAATTTATAGATTGATTAATTGACTACGAATCCGATATAATCTCCGAATGTTTATTATAAATCAGATTCAAGAAAAAGGAAAATAAACGGAATAAAGTAATTCACAAACCTAACTTTGTTATTGAAAAATAAATAAAATTGAATGTATATCAAAAAACTCTTTCTAAATATCTCATTTCTAAATAAGAATAAATGAATTCAACAATCGAACTTGTACTTTTACATTGTCCTACGCAATTGGATTTATATCAACGATGTGTAGAAAATAACCCGACAGAATGGTCTATTAATTGTCAAAAAGAGAAATACGAACTAACTAAATGTTCTGAAGATAAGTTAAGTATTAGGATTTTTAAAAATTTGGATAACATATCGATTTATATTTATTTATTTTTTGTTTAAAATTAATACAGTATTCCAACGTTAAGACAAGTTAAAAAGCAATGCAATGAAATAATACAAGCATTTGATAAATGTTTGGCAAAAAATGAAACGGAACCAGAAAAATGTACGGATTTATTAAGAAATTTATATGATTGCATTGAGAATGCTACCGATATTAAGAATAATACGGCAAAAATTGAAGTTGATACAAAGAAATCCAATATTTAAAAGGTTTAATTATTCGTGTTATAAATTTAAATTATTTGCATAATAATTTAATATTTAAACATTTATTATTTAACAAATAAATAAATAAAATGTCTACATGAAAAATAATATTTCTTTTAGATTCACTTACCTTTTTTGTTACTTTTGTTTTTATAGAATAGTAAGTCAAATATCTTAGGATCTTCAAAATTACCGGATCTCTCAAGCATATAAGCCAATCTTTCATTCTCACTTCGGAGAAATATAGCACTCCCTATATAATGACACCTTTATAAGTTTAAATTTACATTAGATTGTAACATCGCATATTAAATCTACCTTTTCCATTCCAAGCTGGCTGACTTATATATAGGTTTTTCACAGGAATTTTTTTCTCTCTTCCCCATTGATATTTCCTGCCTGTTATGATCTTGGCCATCTTTCCATTTTTTAATATGCTAATAGTTAGCACACTCCTATGATAAATTTGGATTGAGAAAGAATAAATGATCAAGTGTTCGTTTAAAGACAGACATAAGATACATGTCTATTACCTAGCAGGAATAAGGAACATTATAGCACCAATTCCAAATCCTACAGATAAATAAGATCCAACGAATATGGCTGGTTTAAATTTATCGACGAATGAAATGTTTATGCTGGATTTCTGACTTGTTTGAAAATAAGGTTAATATTAAATTAAAATAAGAATAAATAACAAATAACAAATAAATAATTGATGTTACTTGTTCTGTTTTTCTTCTTTGTTGAAATCTCCATGATAAATCAGCCAAATTTGCCCTAATTCATTAAAAAAAAAATTTACATTATTCATTTTTTAAGAGATTTCGCAATAAAAAAATAAAATAAAATAAAATAAAATAAAAATAGGAATACCAAAATATAAATTGCAAAAAAGCAGCAATATGCCACCACCAAAAGAATTTGTTCGCCTCTTGTGGAGATTTATAAATTACCACTTCTCCCCTTTTTAAACGTTCATTAAAATTTTTAACGGATTCTTTAAGTGAGAATGAAGATACGCGTTCTTCGTTTGCCTTGATAGAACTTATGATAGTTGAAGTTGCATTAGTTGTTTGTTTCGGTTGAATTTGATATAATCGTCTTGGAACAATACGTGTATTAACGTTAAAGCCTAGAAATACAAAAAAAATATATATATAGTAAGAAAAAAACGCGGTAAGTTGATAAATGAAACCTGTTTTAAAAGTTTACATTTGGTAAAATCGCTTGTGAGGCATTCTCTGGAATTTTTAGATAAGTCTAGAGCAAAATTGGGTCGGTTTATTATAGAAAAATATATCGATTTCCTTTTGAACATTTTTTTTTTGAAAGAAACGAGAGTGAAAGCGTGAAATTTTTTATCAATCAGTCATACGAGTGTGTCACAAATCATCTCGTGACTGATGTCTCAAAAAATCTTGACTTGGAGTTGTTTAGTTGTTTCAAATACGAATATCACTAATTCTATTTGGAAAAATGCATTTTTTTTTAATGTACTTTTACATAAAAATTCAAGATGATGTGATGATTTCCGACATCTATTCGTTGTACGAAATGTCCGATTTTGTTCTTGCTCTCGATTTGGTTGCCGAAGCGACGAATGAAAAGTCATTCGGTATTGAAATGGCGGTTTTCCGTCAAAATGATCCAATCCTATCCGGAGAAATGAGCCGAACTTCAAGTCATACAAAAGGCGGCTTGTTTTTTTGCCTTTCCTTTCAGTGAGATACCGCACCCAGTTCAGTAGTCCAAAAAACTCTATTTTAACGGTACTTATGACTTCGCACGGCACCGCCCGTTAGACTTTTGTTCTCACACATTTTTTTTTTCAATTTTTGCAGTTATTAAAAAAAAAAATTAATAGACAAAAATTCTTTATACATAGACGTGGGCTGGAATACCACGAAATTTCAACAGCCTATATTAATAATAATCAAACATAAAAAAAAAAAAATGCGAGAACATACTTCACTTTCCTCTCCATTAAACATTTTACGTCCGACCATAGCCGACGTAGTAACGGACGCACAACTTTTAAAGGCGGCTGAGATATTACGAGAAAAATCTTTTGCATCAGCATATTCTTTAGCAAGTGTGCTGAATGTTATAAAATACGTTTTAGGTAAACCCTATTTTCCTGAAAGCGTGTTTGGTAATAAAAAATCATTAGCATTTGACTTTGGAGGACAAGCTTGTGTTGTTGAATTCGCGTCTTGTGACAACAATAAACGTCCCTTTCCAAGCCCTTCTTCTTTAGACACTAGAAATAATTCCTCCCCTTCCCAACTTTTACAGCCTACAATTGCTGACATCCTTTCCGATTCTCAAACTCTTAGACTTATAGAAGTGTTAAAACAAAAAAGTAAAGAATCACCTTTGAAATTAGCTAGTTTATTATGTATAATAAAAGCTGTGCTTGACGATGTGGGTTTAAAAGGTCTTTTATTCTCTAATAAGATTACATTTACACACTTTGTTTCTAATAATAGCAATAACACTCGAGAATATATAGTTGAATTTGAAGATCAACTGAGATATGATAATTTATTTCCCTTAACTCATAATAATGAATTTTTGTTAAATGGATCTAATATGATGAATAATACTTCTGATATCAAAGTTTTTAAAAATTCTTTAACATCCGACTCTCATTATCATCATCATCAACATCAGCAGCAACAACAACTTCATCATCAACATCATCACCACCAACAACAACATCATCATCACGATGAAGATGAAGATATGATGGATGAATTAGAGAAAGATGAGATTGTTGAAGAACCACCACCGGGACCTGAGGTTTGGAGACATGTACAGACTGTCACCAAAAGAAAACGCAACAGTGACAGTCATTCCGATGAGGATCATTGTGCACCACCAAGTACATCATCGAAAAGACGTTCGACGGATAAACACAAAGCTCCTCCATTGAGTAAGTCAAAGCATTTAATATTTTTTTTTTTCTTTCAAGAAATGAAAGAAAGGTTTAAATTAATTAGCGTGATTTAATTCGATGCCTTTTTCGTTTAGGTTGTGAAGCTGTTAAACGTCTTTTCACCGGAATTTCAAAAACCACACTTCTTCAAAGACTTGAAGAGTCAAAATTGTTAATATCGTCCATTAAAGAAAGTTATTCTGGTATTCGTCCACCAAATACCTCATTGAATTTATCGTCGTCTTCTCGGTTGAATCTTTTATGTCATCTTCTTCAATCACCACCTACATCCCGTATCGATGGCATTTCTTCAAAAGTTTTCTCCAATTTAGAATTGTACAAGTTATTTACTACATACAATGCTTACAAAGAAGAAGTTGCCCAAAATATTCATTCAGATCAAATGAATTCTCCTAGCAAAAGAAATCATTCGACCTCACCAACTTCAACCGAACCATCTCCAATTACTTTCCCAACTTATTCTTCCTTTATAGATCCTACCGTTACACTTCACATCAAAGAACAAACGGGCGGTAAAGAAGTTGGGAAACATAGATTGAACTGTGCTTGGCGTCTAAGTATATTATGCGAATTGTTAGGTAAAGGCGTTTTATTAATGACTAAAGAATTGAGCGGAGCCAAATTGGAAAGAATTCTAGTTGAAGAGTTCTCGAAACTGGTTGATTTCTTGAAAAATCCTGATAATCAAGACTGGGTTGCTAGCGTAAGAGAGAAGATGGAATTGTCTGGATTTGAAGAAGTTTATGAACCTTTAGATGAAGCTGATATTGGGGGTGGCGTTGTAGTCAGTGGAAATAATAATAATAATAATAATAATAATAATAATAACAATAATAATAATATAAATCATTTGGTGACAGCACCTATTGGAGGAAGTCTTATTGGGAATGATCTTATGAAACAAGGTGTTGAAATAGGTAATGGAAGCCATCATCATAATGGAAGTGGACATGGAGAAATTCCAATTTTTGCAATTGATCAAAATATGCCACATCAAATTTCATCACAGCAACAACAAGATAAAAGGATCACAACAAATGCAGAAGATACTGTGATGAATCATCTTCATAGTAATCCTTTTGGGCAAAGATATTCGGAAAGCGTTAGCGTTACTGGTGATCCAACTTCAAAAGAGGATTCAATGACCGTTTCTATTCAATCACCGTCGCAAAACTCACGACCTTTAGCTTATCTTAAACGTAACGATCATCCAAAGTATTGAAATTACAATGCGTATGTTTTGAAACTTTATGCAGAAAAATTTTCTTTATTTATATTTTGATGTGACATAGCATCTTCAAATTTGTATATACATTATTATGTCTTTGCATGTCTTATGAGATTTTTATTATTATTATTACCATAGGGGGTTTATTTTTCTAAAAAATATATTGCTTTTTATTATATTATATTATATATATATATATATATTATCTTTATTGCGATAGGAATTTATTTTTTCCCTTTTATACTCTTTTTTTTCTCAGTTTGTATCATTATTTCTTTTCTTTTTTAAAAAAATGAAATATTGCAGAGCAAGATTTGTTTTGTTTTTTATACTGGTTGGTGTAAAACAGTTGGTTGTCATGCGAGTACAAATCAAAAGTTGATGATGATATTTTGTATATTTTTTTCTTATAAATCTTTTTAGTAAACTGAAATTTATAAACACACTTTGATGATTGTGCATATGAATAATTTTATTTAATTTTTTTTTCTTTTTTAATAGTTTTTGAATTTTTCATATAGATAATTAAATTTAATTTTTTTCCTTAAACTGATAGATTTCTTTTGATAAAAAAATTTTTAATTTGCTGCGGATCTTTGGATTATCAAATAATAAACTAGTATATTATAGATCGGGAAATTTACAACCCAATAAATTTGGATCGGTTGATTATTTCCGAAGTGAAGGTCTTACAGTTTCGAGTTTACAAATTTAGGAAAATTTTTTTAATAATGAAAAAATGCTAAATTAGATTCGATTTAAAAGGATAATAAAATAAGAATGAATAATAAAAGTAGAATGGATAAATTTTCCCTATTGTTTCAGCAAAATTATTCATTGTGTTTATAATACATTTATTGTACTTTATTTAGTTCTGAATATTGTAGGTTTTGTCAAAGGAAATTTTGTAATACCGAGTTACAAATGAGTTTTTTTTTTTTTTAAGAAAAACATAAAAAGAAATTTTTACTTAACAAAATTATAAATATTAGAATTCTTTTTTAATTTAGACAATTTACTAAATGACCATATAAGTTCGTGCATTTGATATTTTGATTGAATAATTTGAAAAATGGCTCCCAATATAAAGATGATCGACGACCAATAATTAGAATATTTCATATAAGGAAATATCCATCAAAAAATATATTTTTAGATTTTATGATTTTTTATCACATTTTGTCGAACATTTTATTTATCCAACTGGTGTAATTATATACTGTATACTAAGGTTCGGAATCGAAAGTCGGAAAATCGCCAAAGTCGAAAGTCGACGATTTTGAATCTCCGATTAATCGGCAAAAATCGGTTACACAAAATCGTTCTACTAGTCAACACTTATTAGAACATGAATTAACTTAGTGATCAAGTCTTTTAAATAATTCAAATAAATTTAATTTTGAGTAAAAACTCTAATATTTGTTAAGTTAATAGTGTATATATGATTGGTAACATTGAAAAAAAAAAAGGTTTTAAAATCAAAAAATAAAAAAAAAACCTCACAACAAGCATGTCACGTGATAGAAACATATCGTGAAACAGAATTTTTGATTAATTTGTTTTTGCTTTTTATTTTCTAATAAATTAATATTATAAATGTAGCTCTAAATTGTTTTTACAAATTATTAAAGTTTTTATAACTGTTCTATACTTAAAAAATTAATACCGTTTTTGCTGATTTTTTATTTTCAAAACTGGAATCGAAAATCGATTTTAATTTTTGAAACGATTCCAATCCCTAATTAGAACCTGATCGAATACTAACTACAAGATATCTTTCTGAAAATAAAAAGAATAAAGAATGCCTTTCCGTAGCTTTATATGCAAATGCTGATGAATCTCATAAACTACCTTCCCTAATAATCAGAAAGTATACAAATCCACGATGTTTTAAAAATATTAATATACGAAAATTGCTTATAACATATTGAAATAACAAAAAAGCATGGATGCTTATAATCACCTTTCAAGATTGGCTTCAAGATTATGATTATCAAGTTGGTCTAAAACATAAAGGTTAATGCGTTTTATTACTTCTTGATAATTGTACTAGTGAGAGTCATTAGTCGAGTCGAGTCAATAAATTGACTCGACTCGAGTTGACTCACATGAATTGATGTTACACTATTACCATTTTATGAATTTTGTGTAACTTATTTTTGGTGATTTTCCAATTTTTCGATAGCCAAAAATTTCCCTTTTAGGAATTTTTGTAATCAAATGTCTATATTTAGAATCTTGTGTAACTCAATTTGGTACAATCCCGTAATTCGAAAATATACCAGTTACGAAGCTTTAATTGAATATTTTTAACACGTTTACTTGAATATCTC